AATTAAAGATGAAAATATATTTTAAGGCTATCACAATGATTTCCAGTATTGATACCACATTTCTGGACACTATTTGAAGGTGGGCTTAGAGCCTTGGCTCTATACAAACTGCACCCGCTGTAAAATGATATGTATCAACACGTTTTATATTGTCATAAAGAAAAAGTTTATATAGAGCCGAGGTTCTAAACAATCAAATTAGAGCCTACCTCAAAAATTCCATTAGAAATGTTGTTTTGATGCTCAAATATCCTCAAATTGATCATCTCGACATCAAGATGCATGGACATGAGAAAAAAATGGATTTCAAGGTTTGGAAAGAGTGTCTTTTGTAATGTATTTTTGGACTGTCAATTTTCAATATTTTCAAGTTTTCATAGATCTGTTGATCTACACTATTTTTGAAGCATTAAACTTTAAAAATAAAGACAAAAATATATTTTAAGGCTATCTCAAAGATTTCCAATATTGAAACCACATTTCTCAACACTATTTAAAAGTAAGCTCTAATTTGATTGTTTAGAGCCTAGGCTCTATACAAACCGCACCGTTTAATAAAACTGAGTAGGGGCCCTCAATTTGAGTTGGTGAGAATCTTACCACTCTCTTTTCTTTTTGACAAAATTCAACCTTTATTAAGATAAAACAAATTACATCAAGGCTTCTACATTATCAAAGATCATTAAGGACTCCATTTCCACTCTCCTCTTAGCCAATAAATCATCCAAATCATTTGCCTCCCTATACACATGAGCTAAGGAACATGTCAAAACAGACAACATATCGAAAATTTGCAAACCTATTAATTTTAACTGCCATGGGAACCACTGATCTTTCTGACGCCACTTAATCACATTCATTGAATCCTCTTCAATGATATAGCCACCATCAAAATTTTTAGCCACAAAAATCTTCAAACTATCTAAGATAGCAAGTAACTCAACATGGTTTGTCGTAGTAACACCACTTGGACCAGCATAAGCCACTACCATGTTTTCTTGCCAATCACGTATCACTCCACCAAATCCTGTCGGGCCTGGGTTACTCAAAGAACTACCATCAAAGTTCAGCTTCAGTAACCCTTGGTCAGGTGGCTTCCACCGTGCACTTGGTCTGCTTCTAGGCACATCTAATTGAAAAGGATTACTCATATTAATCATCATATCGGTTTAAGAGATTCCTCTGCTTACCTTTGAGACTGATAACTAAGACCACAAAGGCAACTTGATATTGTTCAAAACCCTTCCAACGCTCCAAACCACCCCTTCAAAAGTCCTTCGATGCCTTTCCAGGTACACTTCCCAAAGTATCACCCCCCATAGAATCATCCAAAATCTCTACCAATTTTCGGTAAGGGAACATCCATTTGAATAATCAAATCCACCACATGTTGGGGCAACATTAAATTTATCCTTGACATCTGTAAACACCACCACCAAATTTTGGAAATGAACAGGTACTGAATAAATAAATGCGCCCCAATCTCCCCATCAGCTTTACACGTAAGGCACATATTCGTAATTATCTTCCCACGCTTAATGAGATTATCAACTGCGAGAACTTTATCTTGAGTTGCTAACCATATAAAAACTTGTACTTTATGAGGAATAGGTCACTTACAAATCTTCAAAATCTTTAGGAGATTCCATCGAACTCTATCGTGAAACAGAAGACTGTAAACCGAATTAACCATGAACTGACCATCTTTTTCAATTTTCCAAATAATCTCATCCTCATTATGCTGCCTGATATACATCGGCTCAAGATCCTTGTACAAATTGATTAGAGGCTGATATAAATAGCTATGAATTCTATCATAAGGGAAGGTGTTATTCCAGCAAACCTTATCATTCCGTATTTCCACTAGATATGCAACAGACGCTTGGGGAACGCTAACCGTCTCATAAAGAAGAAGATAAACATATCTTAAGGGTACAACTCCCAACCCCTTATGGTGCCAAAAGGAGATAGAAGCCCCCGACCTAGGTAACCATCTAACATTACGATCAACCACTTATTTGAATGCATAAATATCTCTCCAAGGGAAAGAGATGTTATCCCTTCCGCTTGCCATGTTAATCCACATGTCATATCTATTCACCCCATATTTAGATACAAGCACTTTACACCACAACTGGTCATTGCAGTGAATGCTTTGCTACCACCATTTGCACAAAAGCGCAACATTCATCAGAGGCAACTTCGAAAACCCATACCCCCTTCCTTCTTAGGTGTACACACCTTCTCCCATCTAATAAGATGAAAAATTGCGCATCATAAACTCTATATGTTTTGCCACTGCTATCGGCATAAGTAATAGAGACATTTGGTAGATAGGGAGATTAGTCAAACAAGACGATAGAAGAGTTACACGGCCTCCTAAGGATAGATATTTTGCTTTCCAAAGGTCTAACTTAAATTGCACTCTCTGAATAACACTGTTCCGGACAGCTACCGGTAGATTGCCATTTGAAATCGGAAGACCCAAATATTTAAAGGGAAACTCTGCACCCTGCAACCAAACCTCCCTGCTAGATCTCGCACCACTACCTCATCGCAATTAACCCCAATCATTGTTGTTTTTCCAAAATTAACCTTCAACCCCATGAGCACCTCACAACACTTCAGAAATCTCTCAATGTTAGCTACTTGAGAAATATCTGCATCACAAAAATATAACGTGTCGTCTGCATATTGCAGATGGGTGATTTGCATACCACTCTAAGCCACCTTAAAGCCTGAAAAATTTCCCCTCTCAACTATTTTGCAAATCATTATGCTGAAGCATTCCGCATATAGGGTGAATAGAAAGAGTGATAAGGCATCACCCTGTCTAAGTCCCCTCGATGCCCTGAAAAAACCTTTCGGACTTCCATTTATAAGGATAGAAAAGTGTGTCGTCGACAGACACCCAAAAATCAAACTTCTCCACTTAGATCCGAAACCCATATTTTTTTTAAAATCTCCATTAAAATACACCACTCCACTCTATCATGAGTTTTATCTATATCCAACTTAATTACCACCTCCAGTTCCTTACTTAACAACCTGGAATGGATACATTCTTAGCGCTGTGAACACACTATTAGAGATCATCCTATCTTGAATAAAAGTTGCTTGGGTATCAAAGACAAGCAGAGGGAGGACCAACTTTAATCTCTCTGCCAAAATTTTGGCAATGACTTTGTAAAGACTGGTGAGCATACTGATAGGCCTTATATCAGAGAGAGAACAAATCATAGATCTCTTAAGAATCAATGCTATAAAAGTAGCATTGACACCCTTAAACAATTCACCCGTATTCATAAACTCTCTCGCTATATTCAATAAATCCACCTTAACCATAGGCCAAAATTTCTAAAAGAAGAATAACGGGAAGCCATCCGGTCTTGGAGATTTATCACCCGGAAGTTTAAAAACTCCACTTTTTAATTCTTCCATAGTTACCCCTATTTCAAGTTTGTTCGCAACTGCCTCAAGGATGGACATAAATGACAAACCATTTAATTTAGGTTTGAGAGGAACCTCAAAAGAGAAAGCTTTTCGAAAATGAACAACTATATTTTCCCACTCCAAATTGTTGTATTCCTCAACCCCAGGGATAATTACGCCTGATATATCATTATGCCTTCTACGAGCACTAGCCACTGCATAAAAGAATTTAGTATTACGGTCCCCTTCCTTAAGCCATTTAACCCGAGATCTCTGTTTCCAATAGATTTCTTCAAGCCTAGAAAATTCTTCCGAAAAGGACATCAACGAACTTCAGAATCTTACCACGCTCAAAAGAAGTTGTTTATGTTTAGTTTACACGAGTTCGATTCCCGTAACTGACACATTATTTGTCTGGTGAAAGAGAAAAAGATTACAATACAACATCCCATGTTCGAATCCTACCATCCCCAAACAAAGGTAGAATTAAAAGCATCTCCATTTTTCATTAGAGGAAACTCTGAATCAAAAGGATAAGCATTTGGCATAAGAGAAACTATCTCAACCTATTTTTCCTGAACCAGCAGATCTCCATCCATGGATTGGAACCCATCCGGTAGCACGAAAGACGAAACTGAAAATGAAACCCCGCCTCAGTTTGTTTCAATCTCTCAAAAAACCCATCCAACCATCGTTTGGACAATACTATGAAGCAAGCTCCAAAAAAAAAGAAAGGATATTCAAAACTCTATTTAAAATGTGTTTTTTTGAAGAAAATAAGCTAAATATTTCCATGAAAAGTTTAAAAGGTGTGATTTTCAAAATATTTTTGAAATACTTATTTAAAGAAAACGAAATATTACCATATTTTAGCATTTTCTCAAAAATCCAATCTTAAAATTTGTTTAAAATGGCATTAGTGCATTCCTTTTTATTATTTTGTGTTGATTTTGCAATTGTATATATCTCCTTTTGAGTACCAAGAAGGTACTAATATTGGTTTATTCGTTAGTTGTGTACATTGGAACTGATTCTCTCGTTTTTCTTGAAAGTTGATGTAATTAACTGTCCTCCATTCACATATATACACATAAATATACCTGGTATTTAAGTCTCCTCTTTTGAGTCAAAACCAAACTAATCACTTCTTTCACTAAACGAGTTTTCGACACTCTTTTTCAGTTTTTTGACCTTTCATGTCGGCTTTTTCAGGCCGAAATTGAATTAATATTGGCTTATTGGTTTGCTAATATAGTGCCATCACATGAATTGTTAACTATGGGTAAGGCTCTACCAGATCATTCCTCCGTATAGTAAACGACCGCAAACTTGGTAAATTGAGATAAACATAAAGGAAAGGAAAAAGTTCATATAAGTTGTCAACTGATACTGTACAAGTGAGGTGCACCTAGAAACCGACTAGGAAGGTTATTCCTATGCTGGAAGACCCCCAAATCAGTCATCTCGACCTCAGGATTCATAGACATGAAAAAAAAAAAACGATTTTTAAGAGTAAAAATAGTTCTTCTAACACATTATCTGGACCGTCAATTTTCAATATTTTCAAGTGTCTAAAGATCTGCTGGATCGTCACATTCATGGAACTTTAAATTTCATTATTGCAAGGCTTTGTGGCACGGAAACTGCATTTTTTGCATAGTTTTGAGGTACACCTTGCTTCAATACTATACAAACCTCACCCTAAGGGAAATAGATGGTAAATCATTCTAGTGATGAGAAACATTTTATACAAGATGGTTTGGGGGATAGTCGGCCAGACCCTGCTGCACACACGCGTCTGAAATTGGTGGAATCACAAATTAAAAAAAAAAAATGAACACAAACTATCTATCTAGCAACCTATTTTCGATTTAGTAAACATCATCGACCATCGGAATCCTGACCTCTTCAGCTTTTTTCTGGCAACATGCACAAGTGGGTTTCACCTCAGCACGCAAGAGAGGCTCGTGAATGTCCACGGTGCTCTCAGATGTGTCCTCACCTGTAACCTTCAAGAATTTGTACAAGGGGTCAGCTGGGAGGCATGGATATTGGTCTGTGAGACCTCCTGCAACCCTGTAACATACGGGGCTCTTTCCTTTGCCATTCCATATGCCAAGAAGCAGCATGCTATTCATTATGACAAGAAGGCATGCGCCCATATCTACCAAAACGGCAGCCCACATATATGGGTGGCCACAAAGAGCCAAGACTACGATTGTGACCTTTGGGACAACAGAGAGGCTAATATTCTCAGCAATCTTCCAGCGGGTCCTACGGCCGGTAAGAATGGTCTCATGGAACTGGCGGAGGTCGTCAGACATCAAGGTCACATGTGAGGCTTCAGAAGCAATCGCAGAGCCGGAGGCGCCCATGGCAACACCCACATCAGCTGCAGCGAGAGCGGGTGCATCGTTGATCCCATCCCCAACCATTGCAGTGAGGCCATGTGACTTCTTCATGTCTACTATCTTTTGTGCCTTCTCATCTGGGAGCAGCTCAGAGTGGATCACATCTATCTCCTTCTCTAGCTGCATTAGAAATGGAGAAGACCCTTTTGGACATCCCAATAAGTGAATAAAGGCATGGAGCTAATTGTTAATGAGTGAAAAAACAAAATAGTTTTACAGGTGGGAGTTGTGGCAACATTTATTTGATAAGCAGGGTTCTGAAAGTCCACTGCACATGAATTCTAAAGGCCATTAAAATATGTCATTTTTACTCATAAATGCATGAAGCAGAAAAGACGGTCCTATTTACTTACATTTGGCTCACCCAAATTGGGCTTAAGTTTATCAGGAATCATTATAAATGTGCGCCATGTTTTCTTTTTCTTACCTGCTTTTTAGATGAGGCTTAAGTTCTTAAGGAGTCATTACAAATTTACACCAGGATTTCCTTTTTTCCTCTGTTTTTAAATTTGAAACATTGGAAATATCTAAGCTCCATCATTAAAGAACCAAACTTTTCTGGGAACAATTCATTCATGTGCGGTGTAATGGAGCTAGAAAGTGCACAATCGACAATAGAGTTGAAGAAACATACAGTTGGTTATGACTGCAAATTTTTTTTTTTTTGAGAATGTTAACCTTTAATAGAGAAAAAAAAAAGTACAAAAGGCCTTGGCGATCCACAGAGGAGAATGCTCAAGGATAAAATAGACCAGGGAAAGCAGAATCAAAATCCTCTTTTAGGAGGTTACAGTGAGGCACAACAACCTAGGAAAACAGGCCGATCCACAAAGCACAATAGAGAAAAAAGGCCAAGCAACCAAAAAATCTTCTAGTTGCCAGCCATCGCCGCTGCTTCGTTTGCTAGAGTATCAGCTTCTTGGTTTCATTCCCTCAAGGTATGTGTCCACACGACGAACGTATTCCTACAAAGGTGGTCAATCTCCCCAAACAAGGGGGGGGGGAGGGAGAAAGTCTCTGAGCCCAAGAGATGGTATTCTTGGAGTCTCCTTCCACAGCTAGAGAGTGCAGATGGAGAGGTTCAATGAGTTTGAGGCCTTCAAGAAGTGATAACACTTCGGCCTCCATAGAGTTGGCGTGGCCGAAACAGTCGCCACAGTAGTACCAAGGAGGTCTCTGAGGATGGATCTTATGCTGGACGGGACATGGTTGCCGAGGGAACAACCGTCGAAATTAGGCTTAAGCTGACCAGGAGGCGGGCGCTTCCAAGCCCTCCGCTGGAGCATGCGATGGAATTGAAGGACATTGCACCAATCCTGGGTGAAAGCCGAAGCAGAGACTCCATTGAAACAGTAAAAGATTATCGTGGACTTGAGCTTGTTAAACACTTTGTGCTAAGGGGAGAACTCCCCCGGGAAGATTCTTTTGTTGCACTTGATCCAGAGGGCCCAAAGAGATGCAGCCACCGTTGATTTCCATAGAAGGATCCCAGCCTTAAGCCAGGGGAAAGGTTGGATTGAAGAGAGAATGGATGTCAACTCTGCCGGTAACACCCACTGAACATTGAAGAGTTTTAGGATTGCCCCCAAAGGTTGAAGGCAAAGGGACAATCCAGCAGTAGGTGATTATTGGTTTCCTCGGCTGCAAGACAGATGACGCATCGATTAGGAATCGAGATTCCTCTTCTTTCCAGTTGGTCTACTGTGAGGACTCTCTGGGAGAGAGCCAGTGACATGAAGATCTTGATTTTAGGGGGTACAAAGGATGCCCAGGCCTGAGCGGCGACAGCAGCAGGAGCTAAGGGAAGAATGGGGGTAGAGTTAAACTTCAGAAAAATGAGCAGACTGGTCCGTTAATGTCGTCAAACGGCAGCACCATTTACCTAGGAGAGCCAAGTTTTGTGTTCTTAAGTTCTTGATCCCTAGAGCTCCCTTTTTCCTAGGCTGGTAGATTTTGTCCCAAGCAATCAAATGGAATTCATTGTTGGAGTTGTCTCCTGACCAGAAGAATCTTCGCATTAACTATTCAATTCTAGAACTAACTGCCACAAGCATGTGGAAGATTGACATTTGGTAGATCGGGATGTTTGCAAGGGAAGCCTTGATCAGAGTAAACCTTCCTCCCGGAGAGAGGCAACGACCTTTCCATCCAGCAAGTCTACGATCCACTTCGTCTACAATGTGAGACCACAACATTTGTTTTGGTTTGCCTATGCAAAGAGGTGGCCCTAGGTATTTGGAGGGTAAGACTTTAACCCCACAACCCCACCTATCAGCGAAGTTCGTGAGGTTGTTTGAATCTACATCTACCCCCATCATTGTGGTTTTGTCAAAGTTGACTTTGAAGCCAATTGCAAAATTGAAGCACCTAAGAAAGAAGCATAGGTAGTGGATCTCTTCGGGTGTGGCGTTGCAGAATACCAAGGTATCGTCTGCATATTAGAGATGAGAGACCTTGGGGGCCCCCGGGGTCCAACTGAGAAGCCATGCAGCCATTCAGTCGTATACATTTTGGAAATGGATCGACTGAAAACCTCAACCGCGATTGTGAAGAGGAAGGGGGAAAGGGGATCTCCCTATCTTAAGGCCTTTGGTTGAAGGGAAGTATCCTTTAGGGGTTCCGTTTATGAGGATGGAGAAGTGAGGATGAGAATAACATGCTCTCATCCAAGCTCTCCACCTCATACCGAAACCCATCCTAGACTGAGTTTCTTCAAGGATGTCCCAATCTACATGGTCGTAAACCTTCTTCCAGTCAAGCTTGACTACAATACCAGGGTCATTGGCCAAGCGTCTGGAGTGTATGCATTCGTGGGCCACAAGGGCCCCATCTAAGATCCGACGATCTTTGATGAAAGCACTTTGAGAGGGAGAAATAACTAGAGGGAGGACCTCTTTGAGGCGGGAAGCCAGAACTTTAGCTAGGATTTTGTAGGTGGAATTCACTAGGCTTATAGGGCGGAAATCTTTAAGTTGGGTTGCACCTTCCATCTTGGGGATAAGCATGATGAAAGTAGCATTCAAAGCCCGATGTAAAATCCCCATAGAGAAGAATTCATCAAAGAGAATGAGACAGTTGTCTCTAAATTATCCCCAAAACAATTTGAAAGGTGCAATGGGGAAGCCGTCGGGCCCAGGGGCTCTATCCCAATCCAAATCAGAGATGGCAGCCAGGATTTCGGTTTCGAAAAAAGGTCTCTCTAACCAACAGGCTTTGCCTGGAGGTAGAACCAAGAACTCAAGGTCCCCCATGAGAGGCCAACGACCAGAGGGAGCAGAAAAAAGGTTTTGGAAATAGCCAAGGATGGCTTGCTCTATTTCTGGAGGTTGTTTTAACAGGTTTTCTCCCACTAAAAGATGGGAGATGGTGTTGTCTCTATGCCTACAATTGGCAGTCCTGTGGAAAAAGCCAGTGTTGAGATCTTCGGCATTCAGCCACTTGATCCAGGACCTCTAATACAAGAAAATTTCCTCTTTCTTGAGGATGGATTGGTATTGTAATTTGAGTTTGTCTCTTTGAAGGAGTTCAAGATCTGAGAGAGATCTGGACTCTTCTAGAGTGTCTACGGACTGAAGGTGGAGGTTTTATGTGGCCCTAGGAACCCCGAAAGACCCCTATTCCATGTTTTGAGTTGTGCCTTCAATAACTGCAACTTGCGCTGTAGTTTGAAGTCGGCCCATCTGACTACCAGGTTTGAAAGAGACAACCACCAGTCTGAAAATTGGTTTAGAAGGGAAGGTTCTTCTAACCAGGCCTACTCGAATCTGAAAGGTTTGGGACCACTCTCGACTGGGTTAGAGTCTAATAGAATGGGACAATGATCTAAGGTGGGTTTAGGAAGGGCTAGAGAGCGAGTCCCAGGGAAAGTGGAGTTCTAGTCAATGGAAATCAAGAATCAGTCCAATTTAGAGAGGGACGGGTTGGAGACGTGGTTGGACTAGGTAAACTGAGCTCCTTGAGTGGGTAAGTCGACCAGGTAAGTCGACCAGGTTATTAAGGGTGATGAAGTCAGAAAAAGTTGACATAGCCAGGGTTATTCTGGACGAGGTATTTCTCTCATGGGACCACCTAGTGACATTGAAGTCCCCACCTATACAGCAAACTGGGTGAGGAAGCTGGACAACGAGGTTAAGTTCATCCCAAAGAACAGGTCTATCGGCATTAGAATTGGGTTTGTAGACCGCAAAAAATTTCCACTGCAGACTGTCAAGGATCCTAGACAGAAGAATGGAGACAAAGAACCTAGCTAAGTGGGTGGAATCCAGGGGAATGGGCTGTGGGATCCCAAATAACCCAAATTCCCTCCAAGACACCCTCAGCGGGGAGAGTAACCCATTGACAGGGTCGGCGCCCCCAAACTTGTCGGACCAGTAACAGGGAAGGATTAGGTAGTTTCGTCTTGATCAAAGCCAAAAAGGTGCGCATGTGCCTGAAACAGAGATCCCTGACTGCCTGCTTCTTGAGGGGCAGTCCGAGTACTCGAATGTTCCAAGAGAGTATCAGGATTGAGGGGTGAAAGAGAGAGGAGAGTTCTTGAGGGAACGTCTCACCAAAAGACCTCTAGTGTGTTCCTTAGGAAGGAGAGTATGAAGGTTTGTCGTAGTTTATGCTGCTAGCTAGATTAGCTAACTCGCGAGAACCCTTCTTGCTTACCCGAATGCGAGACTGCATATCGGCCTTGAAGAATTCTTGGAAAGGTCCATCGGGTCCGGTGTGGGGGGAACCCATCATTTTCATGACACCCCGGATCTGGCCTTGTCCTGCATCGATGCCATTGACAATCCGAGTCCACCGAAGGGGGGGAGAGAGGATCCCCCATGGTATCGACCAAGAGATATGATCTTGTTGAATCCGATTAGGAGAGCACAAAAGGCGTAGGTAGAGTCGGCAACACTGGAAAAGGAAGGCCATCTGCCGCAGTAGGTCTGAAAATACCCGTCGAAATACCAAAAGGATCCCCTATTGAAGGGGCACTTGGTTCAGCCAGAGAGAGGGGAGGCGGAGGAGAAGAAATCCCCAGAGAAGCAGGTGATGACAGCGGGGAAGCAGAGACCGACCCAGAAGCGAAAACATAATAGTGAGATGAGGGACATTATTACGAAGAAGGGAGGAGGGGGAAG